GTATTTAATGGCTAGTTTTGTTCAAGTGTGGATAATTCTAGAGCTAGTTTCAGGGACAAAAGGTAAACTGCAGTGTAATGTTCTTTTGTTGGGTTTGTTAGTATCAATTTTGTTCGTGAGTTGAGCTTTGTTGTGGGGAATGTTGGAGAGTTTTTCAACAATAGCTGGTGGAAATTTATTGGTGTGAATGAAGGAATGCTTTATGTGGTTAATTTCTTCATTTGTGTAGTCCATTGAACAGAGTATTGTGGCTGTGTTTGTGAGGTTTTTAAGTGTATTGATTTTTTGTGGGGTGTAATGAGCGGAATTCCAGGGGATGTAGAGGCCAGTGTGTGTGCTTTTGGTTTTAAACTGTGTGTCCGATCTAATAATTTTGAGGTTAAGAAAGATAACTGTTTATTGTTTTCGTGTTCTATGGTAAATTTGATGTTGGGGTGAATGGAATCTATATGTTCAAAGAAAGTTACTGTGTGTTCTGTAGAAGTGAAACCAACAAAAGTGTCATCGACATATCTGTACCAGTATAGTAGGGGATGAAGCGCAGAATGTATGGCTTGTGTTTCGATCTGGGTCATAAATATATTGGCAAGAACGGGCGAAACAGGATTGCCCATACTTAAACCATCTATTTGAAAGAAATGTTTGTTGTTGAAAAATGAAGTTGGTTTTAGTCGTTGTAAATTCTAAGAGAGAAGCAATAAGTGTGCTGGGGATGTGCATTAACTTGTTGGGGTCATTCATGTAGAGGTCGAGTGCAATATTGCAAGCTTCATTGGCGGGGACTTCGGTGAAGAGTGACACGACATCAAACTAGCCATTAAGGCTTTCGAATTTAGTTGTTCTAGTGTATATTTGAAATTGAAAGTATCTTTAAAAAATGAACCTGCAAATGTTACATATGGTGTGAGAGCCCAGGCTATGTATTTGCCAAGATTGTAGTTGAATGAATCATAAGTGGACAGTATAGGTCGTAGGGGGCAGCCCTGTTTGTGTAGTTTAGGAATGCCATAGAGTTGTGGTGTGCGTGAATTAGTTTTACATAGATAAAAATAAAGATCGTCAGTAATTAAATTATCTTTTTTCATTTGTAATAAAGTTCTGTTTAGTTGTTTTTCGTGTGTGCTTGTTGGGTTGTTTGGAATGGCTTTGAATTTCTTTTTATTGGAAAGGATGTCGTTTATTTTGTCGATGTATTCTGAATTGTTCATGATGACAGTGGTGTTGCCTTTATCAACTTTTAGAATTTCAATGTGAGTGTCATTTTCTCAGATTATAAATGGATTTTATCTCGTTACTTGTGAGATTACTTTTCAGTTTACGGGATTGGTTGACTATATTAATAGTCCTGTTCGAGAATTCTTTAAAAAAGTTATTTAAAATACAGTTTTTGGGAACTTCGGGAACCACATTTTGTTGTAGTTACCTGTAATAAAATTCTGTTTGTTGATGTCATAGATGTCTTCTTTCTGTAGTTGGAGGATGTTTGAGGTAGAGGTGGTCTTTTGTTCTTTTATGTTGTGGGTCACGAGTCTTCTGGCTAGATCTTCCAGACGCACCTTGAACTCTAGGCATGGAGTTGTTTTGTGGTTGACGGCAAAGTTGAGGCCTTTGTTTAGAAGTTGAAGTTCTGTGTCGTTGAGTGTCCGGTCAGATCTGTTGATTACAAGGTTAGGCTGAGCTGCAATGTTGTGTTTCACTTCACGTTGTTGTAGTTTCCTTAGTTGATCTAGTGTCTTATTGTGTATAGACTTCTTTTCTTGATTCAACAATGAGATGTTTTGGTTGATAGCGCGTTGTATATTGCCGTAATCATCTGGTTTGAGGTAGCAGGCTAGTTGGTGGTCTAATTTCTGTTTGAGTTTTTGTAAATAGTCTAGTTCTTGATATTTGGAATTCAGGGTTGCTTTTAGGAGTTTTTTCTGCATGTTTTGGATAATACCTGAAAACTGGTTTACGTTTTTCGATAACGTGACCTTCACAAATTTAGGAATTAGCCTTTCAGAGCGGCACTGTCTGAGGAAGGAAATATCGTTTCTACTTTTGATGATTTTTATATTCAGGTTACGAAGTTTAAAGATAGTTTCACTGTATGATTTGTTTATGGTAGTGGATAGGTAAGAGAACATAATTAAAAGTTATAAATGGAATAACAAAGATAAACGTTTAGACTTACACAACCTTGAGTGTCAGTGTAAATTACTTGTACCTGATGATGACAAAACCTTGTCGAAACGTTGTACATTTGCTGTTATGTTAAACTTATATTAAAGTTTTCCTTCATTACCCGTTCAAGCCGTCTCCAAGCATTATTAGTCTCAAAGTGTGTTCCTCGTCATCGAATACGTAGTATTTGTAAAAGTCATAAAGTTGTCTTTGTTCAAATTCATTTTATTTTTCTAATCTTTATAGATATTATCTGTTCTACTTGTGGAAAGTATTGGTGTAACTCTGCATGTTGTACAGAAATGTAGTTGATAGCAGAGTTATTCACTGGTAGGCCAGATGATATTTCGAAGTTACGGCCCACCCTATGTTGAATAACAATAACCAGCCACGTGGTTGGTGCTAGTTGCTATGGGTAAATTCGGCATTTCTGGTTAAAGAAGAAATATTAGATTTAAAACAGTTCTGCACGAGTTCTCATGTTAGTTGTTTTATGAGAAGACGTCTTGAGAGAAGAAAGAGAGTTAATCAATTCACTAGCCCAGTGAAAAGTAACCACACAATGTCCAATGCAAAGTATGCTCATTGTATTTTAGTCTTCGTAAAAAATAAAAACTGTTTTCATTTTGAGTCACAAATTGTATCCACTATCTTTATTTTTTGACTTAAAACTTGGTCAATTTAGAAAGTCTGCATCACTTCATGATTTATTCTGTGAATCCTCCCATTATAAAGTGGGTCTATGAGGAAATGTAACCTAAAATACTATAATGGTAAGAGTTTTTATTTGATGTATCTGGATTTTCAGAAAGTATTTGACAAGGTGCCACACAAAAGTCTTGTTATGAATAACGTCTATATGTGTGGGAATAAGTTGATTCATTGGATCAGAACAACAGAGGGTTATTATAAATAAAGTTCAATCAAACTGGATTAATGTCACAAATGCAAGTACCT